GCGAGGGCGACCGCGTGTATCTGGCGCCCGAGGTGATCTTCCACGGGCAGTACGGCAAGGCGGCCGACGTGTTCAGCCTGGGGCTGATTGTGCTCGAGGCGGCGGGCAACGTGGAGCTTCCGGACAACGGCGAGCCGTGGCAGAAGCTGCGCCGGGACGACTTTTCGGACGTGGATCTGTCGGCGCTGAGCGGGCCGCTGCTGCGGGTGCTGACGCGGCTGCTGTGCTCGGATCCGGAGCAACGGGCGACGGTGGACGAGATCAGCGCGCTGCCGACGGTGGCGTGCGTGCGATCGATCATGTCGCGCGGGCTGTCTGCGAGCGAGATGGACCAGCTGCCCGAGTTTACGGAGTCGTCGACGTCGGGCTCGCTGTCGGGGCTGGCGGAAAGCGTGTCGGGGCACTCGATCCCCAGCGAGCTCTCTACGCGCACGCTGGGACTGAGCGACTCGGAGACGGGCTCGAGCGCGACGGATGTGCTATCCGAGACCGACTCTGCGCTGGGGCTGTGCGGTCTGTCGTCGTCGATGTCGGCGCAGACGTCGATCTCGGCATCGACGAGCACGTGCGCGGTGCTTCGCGTGCGCGGCGCACTGATCCAGGAGCCGGAGGAGGAGTTCATGCGCGAGGTGCTCGCTGCCGACGTGGACGAGGCCAGGCAAATTGTCAAGGGAAGCGATACGGCGCGGTGGGCGGCCGAGAGACCGGTGCTGATGCCGTTGCAGGAGGTGCAGCACTATAGCAGACACGCAGCCGGGATGGAGCTGGATGCATGAGCTTCACCACGATCTCATGCAATACACATTTTGCTTATTGACGGCGACTTTAGTACACGAGAGCATGCGATTGAAGTGAACGGGAAGGCAGAGGGGCGCTGTTAGCTTGGAGAGGAGCGGATCTGCCGGTGGACGATCGTTGATCGGCTTTGTGTTACAGTGTCGATCAGGCCCGATTGACGTCGCTGGCGGCTAGCGTTGCTGCACGGGCGGATGAGACTGGACGGGTTCAGATTCAAGACCCGACCATCAGACGGCCGGATCGCTGGATTTTCGCCCTCCAGGGCTGCAGGCAAGAGGCGGCGCGCAATTTGAATTTTTTTCCCTCTCTCGAGAGCATGTGAACGCACAGCCGGCGGATGAGAGGTACAAGAGGGACCTTGCATCGAGGCTGATTTGCGTGCGGGTGTTCCTTGCAGCCAGAGCATGCAGGCTGGAACGACTGCTTTTCGAGCTTCCAAACGCAGACCGAGGATTAAGCGTCACCCCCCCCTCCTCTCTATGCGCCTAGCAAGAAAGGGAGAGTATGAGGGTGGAGATGGATGGGCATGCCGAATCCGCATGCTGGACTTGCAGGACTTGGGCTGGAAGCCAGGTCGCAGGAAACCCGATGTCAATTTCCCGCCTTGCCATCCATCCAAACGGATCGGATCGCCTGCCAAAAAATTCCTTGGGAAAACCCTCATTTTTTCTGGAAAGGCTTTAAAAAAGGGGTGAAATCGCTAAATTTCCGCGTCGTCTTACCGCGGCAGCCGTGCCTTGGGTGGAATGAAGGCGTTTGGATGCGTCGATTTGCATCGAGTTGCCCTTCATTTCACGACAAAACAAAAAGAAATCGAATGCAGCCCAGCTCGCTTCGAATGGTGCAGGCACGGTGAGGGTCGCGTGCGATTCGTGCCTGCGCTCGCACTGTTTTGGCCTGTGCTCTGCGGCACGGGAGGGTCTCGCCAATCCTCCGAGTTGGGCTGCCACAGACCCTGGTTTTCTGGCCGCTCTGGCCGCGCACCCACACTGGCCTGCCTTGGCGATCTGGCCCAACACGGCTTGGCTCGCCTCGCCCAGCTGAGGGGATACAGACTAGCCGGCTGGCCGATAGAACCATGCCGTGCCGGCCATCTTTGTTCGCAGTCAAGCCGCAAAGAGCTTGTGCCGCGAGCGTGCCAATCGAGCGTGCCGTGAATGGAGATACCTTGGAGTCGGCTCTACTACTAAGCCCTGCCGGTTTGGGCGCGGGGAGTGAGGCATAGAGGCAGCGATTCCCGTCGATGCTGAACCCTGAGCCAGCCATGTCTCGCTAGCAAAAGTTCCACCCCTTCTGCCTCTTCCCCGTGCTCGTGATCCTGATCCTCATGCTCGTCCGATTCAGTCGCTTCCACCGCTCTGGCTCGAGTCCAATTCTGAGCTCCGTATCCAGCCAACACGACGCCCGCATCCGCTGATCTGCATCCGCGTTTCCCTCGCACGAGCTCTTCCCCTCTCCTCTTCCTTTACCACCATCGTCCTCATCGCCTAGTCCTAGTCTTCCTGTTCCCGCTGCGGTCCCCTACTCCCTCAACCACTTCAATAAACGCGTTGTCGCGTCGAGCGCCTGGCCTACAGACATGCCCGTCACAATGAACCTCCAGCCCAGGGCGGTTGCCGAGCCCCTCCGCCTCAACAACATCCCCATCGGCTTCATCCCCGACGTCGGCTCCGACGGTGGTAACGTGCAGACCATGGTCGGCATCAACGGCTTGCTCGCCGGCCGCGGGCAGTCGTACTCGTATGGCTTCTATGACCAGACCACGTACGGCACCATCTACAACGGTCAGAAGATCCTCAACAACGCTCCGGACATCTACGCTTCCGGCGCCATCCTCGAGGCGAGCATCATGCCCGTCGGCAGCTGGGGCGGCTTCACCGCCACCGACAACTCGCAGGCAAAGGCCGTCTGCAACGTCATGAAGAAGTTCACCGACGCCGGCGTCGAGGTGCGTCTGCGCTTTGCCCACGAAGTCAACTACTACGTCACCACGGGCGAGTATGCTCCCATGAACGACATGGGCGTCTCCGCCTTCAAGACGGCATGGGCTCAGGTCTCGGCCGCCTGCAAGACCATCGCACCAGCCGTCAAGATGTGGTACTGCCCCAATGCCGCCAACTTGAGCGTCTACGAGACCTACATGCCCGACAACTTCAACTCCACCGTGCAGATGATCGGCGTCGACTTTTACCCGGCCTCCAACGATCTCGCCACGGCTGCCAACTACATCCAGACCGTCAAGCCTTTCCACGACAAGTACTCCTCCTCCTCCGTGCCCTTTGTCATCGCCGAGGCCGGCACGCACGCGCTCGACGCCTCGCTCCAGGACCGCATCAACTGGCTCCAGACGCTCTCCTCGTCCGAGGTCAAGGCTGCGCTGCCCAACCTCGAGTCCATCACATGGTACAATGCGCTCCGCAAGACCGACATCCTGTCCAACGGCGTCGGCGGTGACTTCCGCATCCTCGACCCCAACAACGCCACCTTCCCCAACCAACAGGCGCAGCAACTCTTCCCCGTCGTTCAGGACGCACAGGCTTCTGCGTCGGTCGTGTCGGTAGCAACAGCAGCTACGGCCACAGCCACAGCCACCGCGCCAGCCAGCCTTCCGCCCTCGCTCCGCACCGGATCCGGCGCACCCTCGACCAAGAAGGGCCTCTCGGTAGCCGGCCTCGCCGTCACGGCGCTCGCTGCCATCTCGGCGCTTTCGTACCTTTGATTTCGCCCAGCCTGCCCAGCCTGCCCGGCCTGCCCAAGCCTGTTCAGCGTACCCTGCCATATAGGCAGAGCCGCTGCACACTTGGCCATGGCCACAGATACCTTTGTCCACCGCCCCTCCATTTGGGCGTGTCTGTAGACTCTTGACTCTTTTTCTCCCCGCCTCCTTGCTTTGTCGTTGCGCGTGTTACGGGACATGCTTCTTTTCTTGCCAGCCCGTTGTGCACACACGTGTGCGCTTGCTGTCTCGTGGTTTCTTAATGGACGCTTTTTTATTCATGGATCATCGTGCCGTCATTGTGTGTACAAGACTCGGGCTGAGCGGCTGTGTAAGACGGTCGGACGAGGGACGAACAAGGTCCACAGCCTTGTCATGTTCCGGCTCGATTTTGCAGCTCTGCAAGACTTGGCAAGCTTGGCCAGGGGCGCCTCATCTGTGCAAAGGCCGATGCAAAGCGCAGCTGATGGTCCAAGGCGCTACACAATCAAACGGGCACGCAAATCGCTCTCCTGAAAGAATGTCCTCAGAGGTGGCACTCACCCCCGCTGCGTCGCACACACGCAAAGAAAGAAAAGTGTCCGTAGCATTGATGACAGTCGTTCGTCAATCAAGATACAAAATACGCACGATGTGCTGGTGGTGGTGCTGGTGCAACTATCAAAACCAAACCGGTAAAAGCCATAAACAGAGACAAAGAAATACAAAGAAGTCGAAACCGACACACGCTCACCACGGCACCTTGGTCAGCCCGAGCTTGGCCATCGGGTTGCCCAGGCTAGGCAGCGGCATCAGATAGCCCGACTTGCGCGCCTTCTCCATGTGCTGCGGCGAGATCGTCGAAAGCTGCTGGATATCGTCCTGCCCGTAGAAGAAGATGAGCGTCGCGCGTCCCAGCAGCTCCGAAGGGATCTCAATCACCACGCGGAAGAGCACGGAGAGTGCCAGCGTGATGATGAGTGTCAGAGCCCAGATGCCCGCAAGGTTCGTGGCAGCGCCCGAGGTGACCGACGATGCCGCGGTCATGGGGAACACCTTGGGCATGATCGACCACAACACAATCGCGTGCATCGCCACAATCGCGGCGCTGATCTGCTGTCCCATCATGGAGACGGGCGCGAGCGAAAGCACGCGCTGCGACACCTGCGAAAGCTCCAGGAACACCAAGAGCAACGCAGAGCAGATCACATCGGTAAACTTGATGACCGAGTAGATGTTGGCTCCTTGGCGATCCGACGGTCGCAGCACCTGGAGGTGGCTCAGGCCGTCGTTCATGGGGTCGCGCACCTGAGGAACAAGCAGGAAGACGAGGAAAAGCGCAGCGCAGAGACCCTGGACCACCCAGCTTGCAACCTTGTGCCTGCGGAGACGCGCAAAGTGGCCAGAGACATCCAGCTCAGCGACGAGCAGTCCGAGAAGTGCGGGTGCCAGGTACGAGAGTGTGCACCAATTGAGCAGACCCATGACGAGCAGGAACGCCACGCGCGTGTCACGCTGCAGGATGCCGACGATGAGCGTGAGGCCATACAAGTAGTAGCTGTTCTGGAAGAACCAGGGCAAGTAGAAGATGGGCCCGGCGGCACTGCGCAGCTCCGTAGGGCGGTCCTCCAAGGTAAAGAGGTTGGTGGCCGTGATGATCCACTGCGAAGCGTTGCGGAAGCACCAACCCGGTCGCGTGCCAATGAGCGTCTCGAAGTTCGGGTTGTCTGGGTAGAGGTTGGTAGTCTGGCAGATGGCGTATTGAACTCCCGTGACAAAGAGGATGGGGAGCAGGAAGCGGAAAGGACGCGAGATCATGGCCATACCGACGAGCTTGTAGTCGGGGGTGTTGATTCCGCTCTGCGAGCCGCTGTCGCCCTTTGGTGCCTGGACCGCTTGCGGGGTAGCCTTCTCGTCGAGTGCCTTGGGAGCGGGGACCTTGGCTGCCTTGGCTGCCTTGGCCTTGGCAGCAGCATCGGTGAAGCTCTTGATAGCATCCTTGCGGTTGACCAGCCATGGGAGCGTCAGTGCGCGGCCCTGGATGGCAAGGAAGAGGGTGAGGGCAAAGTACGAGTTGAACGGGTAAAGGATGCTCTTTCCGACGGACCAGTTTTGGCTGGTGGTCGAGATGACGGTAGAAGTGAGCGCAACGATGGCTGCAACGAAGCGAAGGCCGTCGATGTACCTCAGTCGCCCGTACTTCATCTTCTTGATCGCTTCTGGGGTCAGGGGCGAGCCGACTTGACCCATTTCGGCCTGTCCGTCCCACGAGTTGCTGGCCCG